ACTCTCTCCTTTTCCCCTCTCACTCCCCGTAGAGGGTAGAGGGGGATCGCCTCCCACCCTGGAGTCTCCGATCCCGGCCCGATTTTATCTTCCCCGGTTCGCACTCACGTTAGAAGGCTCTCTCAGTGGATTCTGCATCTTTTTTCTCCCAATCTCTCAGGTTTTGTAAGGTTTCCAATGTCTTCGGATCTTTTCTGTGTGATGTATGGGCGCGAGTGCAAGTACGGAGCTCCTTACTTCTCCGCCATCTTGCCCTCTCCCTCCTCACTGATTTATTTTTTAAAATTTTTATGTAGGTGTTGCTGGATAGAGAGAAGTGCTTAACTAAAGCCAGAGAATATTTTAAGTAATAAAAAAAAAAAGTTATTTGTAAACAACAGACACCAGCCTAACAATGTAAACCTAGAAATTCAGGACCCTGAGGCAAAAATCTCCAAAATCCCTGTCCCATAATATCATCTCTCCTTCCCACCTGGATCTCTCCCTTACATGCTGAGACTACAAAGGAAATTAGACCAGGTCCCTGAGCTTCAGGAGGGCTAGAAATAAAAACAAGTAATTGTAAGACAGTGGAGTAAGAACTATAAAATCTACATACAAAATGCTATAAGTTCCCATGGGAAGGGACAATCCTTTCTGTCCATGGAGTCAGAGACAGCTCCTCAAAGGAGGCCCCTGACTTGGAGGGATGACAAAGCTTTCAGCTGGTTTCTCAAGTGTCAACTTTGTGCCTTTGTGCCTGTAAAGGAAAAGCTCTTTCTGTGCTTCTCCCTGCTGGGACCAGATATGGGACAGAGTGAGGGCAGTTCACCAAGCAATCCTCAGATTCTCTGGATACTGGCAGTTCAGACACTCTTTACATATAGATAGCATCAGATCCCACAGGTTAAGGGCTTAGTCCCATAAGACTGCCCGCCCCCACACTGACTTCAGATGCCTGTCACAAATTCAGGTTACAGCCTGTGTTTCTAACCAAGCATTTTAATTAATTTAATTTAATTTAATTTATTATTTATTATTTATTTGCTTTTGAGGTGGGGGGAGTGTGCACACAAGGGTAGGAGCAGAGGAAGAGGGAGAGAAAAAATCTTAAAGAAGGCTTATACTCAGCACAGAGCCCCACATGGGGCTCCATCACAGGGCCATGAGATCACAACTTGAGCTGAAATCAAGAATCAGTCACTTTACCAACTTAGCCACACAGTCACCTCATGAGGAACCACCTTTAGAATGAAGGTCCCCATGACCGTTTCCTTGAAGTTGTTAGAGTGGCTCCTAGAACTCTGGAAAACACTTTACTTACTAGATTACTGGATTATTAGAAAAGGGTATAACTCCAAACTCCACACCCGAAAAACAAACAACCCAGTGAAGAAATGGGCAGAAGATATGAACAGACACTTCTCCAAAGAGGACATCCAGATGGCCAACAGACACATGAAACGATGTTCAGCATCCCTCCTCATCAGGGAAATACAAATCAAAACCACACTGAGATACCACCTCACGCCAGTCAGAGTGGCTAAAATGAGCAAATCGGAAGACTCTAGATGCTGGCGAGGATGGGGAAGAACGGGCACGCTCCTACACTGTTGGTGGGAATGTAAACTGGTGCAGCCCCTCTGGGAAACAGTGTGGAGGTTCCTCAAAAGTTAAAAATAGAACTCCCCTATGACCCAGAAATAGCACTGTTAGGAATTTACCTAAGGGACACAGGAGTGCTGATGCATAGGAACACATGTACCCCAATGTTCATAGCAGCACTCTCAACAATAGCCAAAACATGGAAAGAGCCTAAGTGTCCATCAAAGGACAAATGGATCAAGAAGATGTGGTTTATCTATACGATGGAATACTCCATGGCAATGAGAAAGAATAAAATCTGGCCAATTGTAGCGACATGGATAGAACTTGAGGGTGTTATGCTGAGCGAAGTAAGTCAGGCAGAGAAGGACAAATACTATATGTTTGCAGGTATAGGAGGATTTGGAGGAACATAACGGAGGACCGTCGGGGAGAAGAAGGGGGAAATAGTGGGGGAGAGGGAGAGAGGTAAACCATGAGAGACTCTTGAATACTGAGGACAAACAGAACTGACGGGTGTGTGGGGGAGAGGGGGGAGATGGGCATGGAGGAGGGCACTTGTGGGGATGAGCACTGGGTGTTATATGGAAGCCAACTTGACAATAAACTATTTAAAAAAAAGAAAAACAGAAATACATAAAAATAATAATTCCTATGTGATTAATTTTTCTTCATACCTTTGGGCTTATTCCAAATTTTCTGGTACATACATATACTCACAATAAAAAAAAAGAGAGGTAATATTTTAAAAAGGAATGTAGAATTTGCAGAGAGACACTGACTACAAGTTTGGACAAGTTATTGATCATATGACTTCCAGCTTCCTCACATTTATGAATGTTAATTATTCCTTCCTAATAAAATTGTGATATAAATTAAAAGAAAAGAAAAGTTTGTAAAAGATTTAACATAGGCGCGCCTGGGTGGCTCAGTCGGTTAAGCGTCTGACTTTGGCTCAGGTCATGATCTCACGGTTCGTGGGTTCGAGCCCCCCCTCGGGCTCTGTGTTGACAACCAGCTCAGAGTATGAAGCCTCCTTCACATTCTGTATCTCCCTCTCTCTCTGACCCTCCCCTGCTCACGCTGTCACTCTCTCTCTCTCTCTCGATATCTCAGAAATAAATAAAAACATTAAGAAATTTTAAAGAAAGATTAAACATAAAAGGCCTGTAAGTATTGTTAGTTCTTGGGGCACCTGGGCAGCTCAGTCAAATATGCGACTTTGGCTCAGGTCATTATCTCATAGTTGGTGGGTTCAAGCTCCGCATCAGGCTCTGTGCTGACAGCCCAGAACCTGGAGCCTGTTTCAGATTCTGTGTCTCCCTCTCTCTCTCTCTTCCCCTGCCCTGATCATACTCTGACCCTCTCTGTCTCTCGAAAATGAATAAATGTTTAAAAAAATATTTTTAAAGAAATGTTAGTTCTCTTCCCACCTGCTTCTTAATCTTGACAACATCGTAATTTTGATATTATCCAAACTCCACCTTGTCTGACATACTGTCAAACTGGCTGTTTCTTATACTTGAAATTTATTTTCAGAAATAGTTCATCTTTCATTTTCTGAAAACATAGTCTCCATTCTAAGAGACTTACCTCACTCCGAGAGTAGAAGCCAGCTTGAAAAAGAGTCTCATTATGGTAGCACAAACTCCCTCTCACCCGCTCCCTGGAAAGGCTGGGCCAGATTCTCTTACTCAATTTCCAGTAAGTATGGAAAATATTCCTGTAAGGACGTTTTCATAACTAAACCTGGCACTCATTTTATACAACAGTTAAATAAGTTTATGTATATAAGGCATTCAGCTCAGCACATGCAAATTGAAGTGTTCAGTAAATGTTAGCTTTAACTAGTATATAATTACTAGCGGTAGCAATAAATGTCTTCTGGGATCTCAGTAGCCAATTATTCTGGAGTATTAGTGGCCGGTTCTCCTGGCTTTTTCTTTTGTGCATTAAAGATGTTACTCTCAATAGAATGAAACAAAAACCTGATTCAACAAATGGGCTAAAGATTTAAATAAACATTTCTTCAACATTTCTTCAAGAGAGATATATGAAGACAAATAGGCACATGAAAAGATGCTCACCATCACTAATCATTAGGGAAGTGAAAATCAAAAGTACATGAACTATCACCTCAACCTATTAGGGTGACTATTCTAGAAATTTTTAAAAATGTAAACATATAAGTAATAAAATAAACAGAAAATAACAAAATGTTAAAGATGTGAAGAAATTGGAAATCTTGTACCTTTTTGCTGAGAATGTTAAATTATGTGCTGTGTACTGTGGAAAAAGGCATGGCAATTTCTCATACTCCAAAGAACTGAAAGTAGGATCTTGAAGAAATATTTATATACCCATGTTTCGTACAGCATTATTCACAAAAGCCAAACATTAGAAGCAACCTAAGTGTCTATGCATGGATGGATGAAAAAGCAAAATACAGTTTTTGCTACACAATGGATGTTTTTCAGCCTCAAAAAGGAATGAGATTCTGACAAATGGTACAAGGTGGATAAACTTTGGGAATATTATCCTAAGTAAAATTAGCTAGTCAAAAAAGGACAAATATTGTATGATTCCATTCATATGAGGGACCTAGTGTAGACAAATTCGTAGAGACAGGAAGTAGAAAGGGGTAAGGGAAAGGGGCAATAATCTCATTGTAGGAAGATGGAGAAGTTTTAGACATGGATGTTGGTGGTGGCTGCACAACAATGAGAATGTACTTAATGCCACTGAACTGGACACTTAAAAATGGTGAAAATGGTAAATTTTATGTTATGTGTATTTTACCTCAATTGTTTTCAAAGTCTTCTCTCTCCTATGCCTGCAGGGAACCCCCTCCTCCCCACCCCCGTCCATTGTAAGACACTATGGCCCTGACCACAGAGTTGGGAACACAGATACAACTGAGAGAGGTGGCAGGGATCCCCCTGAAGGCTAGCACTGTGGACAACTGGAGCCAGATCCAGAACTTTGAGGCCAAGCCAGATGATCTCCTCATCTGTACCTACCCTAAATCAGGTGACTGGGTGAAGGGACCACCGAACTTCAGCCTGTGGAGTCAGAAAGGGATGTTCACATCAGTTAGGATCTCCCCTGATACAGTGTTTGCACTCACTCATTCAAGGAAAGCTGCTCCTACTCACTATTCCTTGACGAGGCAGCCTCGGGATGCTTAGTGTCCCTGAGATTATCAGGGTCAAGCATAATGGCTTTAGAGCCATAAAGCTATAAAGCCAGGTGTTAGAGCCTGCTGTGCTCTATCATGGACTGCTCTTGGGTAACAGCGTCATGTAGCTTTGGCTCTGCTGCTCTTTCTGTCCATAGAGACTTTGTGGGGCTTTCCCGCATGGACGTTCAGGACAGGATCCTAACCGGAGGGGAGACTGAACCAAGTACCATCAGTTTCCACATCCCCTTTTTCACCCAAGACACTTAAGACAGATTGTCTAACCAGTTTCTGTGTCTTGCCCTTTCTGTTTGGGTCCCAGGGACCACGTGGATTCAGGAAATTGTGGACATGATTGAGCAGAATGGAGATGTGGAGAAATGTCAGAAAGCCATTATTCAACACCGCCATCCTTTCATCGAGTGGGCTCGCCCACCCCAGCCTTCTGGCGAGAGTTCCCCCTTACCTCTCTGGTTCCATTCTTTCTCTTCTTTTAAGATTTTCTTTTTCCTTTTCTTTTTTCTTTTGGAGCAGTGTTAGGTTTACAACAGGGTAGAGTCACAGAGATTTCCCACACATGCATAGCCTTCTCCATTATCAATATCTACCCCCTCCCCCAGATGATGCATTTGGTTCAATTGATGAACCTACACTGACACATTATAATCACCCAAAGCCCATCATTCACATTAGGATTTGCTCTAGATGTTGTATAATCTATGAGTTTGGGCCAAAGTATAATGAACTGGATCCAGCACTATAATACCACACAGATATAGCTTCACTGCCCTAAAAATCCTCTGTGTTCCACTTGTTCGTCCCACCCTCACTCCCCAACTTCCATCAACCATTAATCTGTTTACTGTCTCCACAGTTTTACCTTTTCCAGAATATCATATAGTTGGAATCGTACAGTATGTAGCCTTTTCAGACTGGCTTGTCTCATTCAGTAATGTGCATTTAAGTGTCCTCCATGTCTTTTCATGGATTGATAGCTCATTTCTTTTCAGTGCTGACTAATATTCCATTGCTTAAATGTACCACAGTGAAT